TTCAGTGAAGCTGATGAAGGCCAGAGGACTGGGTGAAAATTTCTTTCAAAAATAAATACAGTGTTCAACAGTCTGCATGCCCTGTTGTCATAATTTTTTTTTTATTTTTCTGGAAGTAAGTGATGGAGGCAATGCTTTGTAATTTTGAAAAAAAACTTCATAATATTTTCGGAGTTCGTTGCGTCTTGTTGAGAGTTCGGAAAGTTACAAGAGTGTTTCAAATGTGGTTTGTGCCAATGATTTGAAGAGCGCTTCTTTGTATTGATGCAATAACAGAGCATTGACTTTATTACTGCTGATCTCCTATACGGGACATGCGTATTTGAGGGCAGAGCATGGAGGTGTAAAATCTAATCATATTTGCGTAGTGAATGAAGCACAAATAAGATAATATAATAATGTCATCATCAGAAATCAATGAATGAAGTACAAACGTAGAAAAGTACAAACGTTGATTACAGCATCTTTTTATAACGTTTATTTCCTTCACATCCAACAGCAAGTACTCTTGCCATTTACAGGATGAGAAAGATACTTTATAAACTAAGTCTCTTTACGAGGCTTAGGGAGTGGAGTTGGTTTTGGTCGTGAGAAAAAGTCCTGCTGTGACAGGAATTGAACCCAGGAGGCAAGAATCTTAACTTTTAGCATGGTATCTACTCGAATATTCCATTTTAGAATTCCAGTTAAGTAGATTCCTAATCTACATAACTGATGACAGCTTTTCAATCTCACATTCATTTATTTGGAATGGTGGGGTTGGTAGCTTATCTCATTTGGTTGAGATAATTATCTCTCGTCTATTTTCTTGGTTAAGTTTCATATTTTCAAATGTTCATTGATCATTTGGGCTCCCTTTATTCATTTCTTAGGAATTGACGGTATCGGCCTTGAAATGAACTTACTTCACTGTGTCCATTTCGAGCTCATTGATATGGAGAGTGAATAAAAGAATAGCAATCCAAGATTCTTGGAGGATGCTCTCGATGAGAAGTTATCACCTATTTTAGTGTGATCTATCTGATAAGAAACACGTAGGCCTACTAAAACAACTAGGTGCGGTGGCGGAACTAGGAATTTAAAATAGTGGAGGCCAGGGAGGGGCGTTTTCACAATCATTGTAAGGCTGAGGTTAGACAATTTATGATTATGCCATCACTAGATGGCCGGAAATGGCACTCTCAGATTTAAATTTGAATATAATTTTCTTTTTTTTTCTCTCAATTATTTTATAATTTAGAAAATTTTAAGGGGGAGGGGGATGTGTTATATTCGCAGATCATCCTCACGTCTTCAACGGATATAGACTTATGTAGGCATATTGTGCAAAATTTGATTAAAGAAGATTAGACTGTAATACGGTATAATAAATGAAACCAAATTTCTTTGAAACGTCTGTCTGTTTAGGAACAGTCATCTATGATTTCATCAACAAAGTGTATAACGTCAAAAATGTATATTTTTGGCAGTGATATGCATAGTTTTAATAGAAAATAAAACTCAGGATATTCAGTACTTTTATGACTAGTTTATTTATGACAGTACACAAGCTTTCGTGTGCACTTCTTCACATTCACCTGAAGAAGTGCACTGTGTGCACGAAAGCTTGTGTACTGTCATAAATAAACTAGTCATAAAAGTACTGAATATCCTGAGTTTTATTTTCTATTATATATTAGACTAGTACGGCTTATCTATTTTTTATGTATAGTTTTAGTTATGTATTCTGGTGGAGTATGAAACCATCCACTGGCTATGTCATTCATGCCTGCTAAAACCTAGTTATAATCTTATTTCATTCTTTAAAAAATGCATTCGTATAACTCTGTAGGGTGTGGTAGGCTCAAGACGTCACCCTTTCCACAGGATTCGCACACGTAGGCCTGAGTAACTTCACTTGCTTGCAGTTAGTCGGAATATGCGGGGAACACATCAAGTTATGCGTCAATGGTTTTGACGTCATGAATCATTACCTTTATGAATAATTAAACTACGGTAATGTTCATTGTGACTGAAGGATTATACCTCAGTTACCGTCAAAAACAAGCATGCATTGCGACACCAACCTTGTTGAATATATCTGATTGGAGTTTTACTGTAAACCATATTGACAGAATAATAACTAACGGCTCTTGGGGAGTTAAGGACATACATGCGTGTATTCCCTATTTGGTGTGATGAATTTAGCCCTCTCCACTGATGGTGTTGTATTGTGAGTATTAATGTTGTATGTTGCCGTTTGATCCTATATGTTATCGAATGTTAAATCTTTTTTTTTTGTTCTGTAACGTCGTTCTCATTGCTAACGTTAACATCGTCAAACCATTTGATACCGTAGGGCCTACATGAAGGGGAAAATTTAATAAATATCTGAGAAAAGATTATCTGCTATCTATAACTAAAATAATTACATTTTATTAGGTCTATTCAAACAGCTCTGTTAATACTCATAGATTCAAGATGTCTTAACCTACACAACCACTTCGACATCGGCTTTTGAACACCTTGTTTCTCACTCAGTGATAGTAGCTTGTTGTAGAACTGTCCGTCATGATGTATAATATTGTGAAAATATATTAAACATTGGAAAGTTAACACCAGCAAAGAGACTTTATTCATAAACCATCATTCCATCCTGTAGTTGGTGAGCTACTTTCTGTTAGATGTGGAAAAGACAAATAAAAGTTAGATAAAAATTAAATATAATAATGAATACATCAATACGAAAACAAAATTGTTCATGAATATTGTCTAATTTAAGATAGCCTATACATGTACTGCTCGTTGTAAAAATATTTAATTATTTCCCTAAAAGGTTTGATGTTATCAACTTTCAATAAAATACAAGCCGAAATAATTTAGTTTTCGCCGAATCATCGAATTTCACTGCGAAATAAGGCTAGCTAGCAAATTTAAGTGCCCGTGAAAAATGGTATAGGAATTTAATTATTTATGCGTCCCTTGGATATTTAAAAAATAGTTCTACGTTTTTACTGAAAGCTTATAGGCCTACACGAAGGAAGCAATTCAAATATGAAGTTTAATTTTCGAAACATAGGCTACTAGACATCTGTAATAATATAGGCATAATAGCTATGATAATTTCCTGTTTAATTTCTCCTATTGATCTACGAGATTGGTTATATTAAAATCTGAATATATACCATTTTTAAAACTTACCGGTATTTATTCTATATTG